TGGGACAAACTCGCCGTCACCTTCTTGTCCAGTCCCGGACCCGAAAGCTTTACATTCTTCGGCTCAGACTTCTTCTTCACTTTCATTTTAAATGGACTGACAATTGAAGAGAAAAGGCATTAATTGTATTGACATATATAGCAATTGTGATACCACTGACGCCCACCCCCTGCGACAACACATACCTGCCCTGAATATCTTTGCCCCCATACGTCACTTTGACATCGCATTTGCTGCCTTCGGGCGGCGGTACGTACGACACGTCATACGTGCCGTCTTTGTTATCCACAATCTCTGGCTTCTGAGCGATGGGTCCCTTATCTGAGGTGACCTCTACGGCGAGCGGCGCTTTGGCCGAGCGTTTGGCGTTCACTTTGAAAGGCAGAGATGCGGCCGCACGACAATTGTTAGGGTCAATGCCCGCACCGGTAGCCGTCACTTTGGTGGCGTCCACTTCGCTCTGTACCGGCACTTTGAATACACTTCCTGTAAGGGTTTGACACAATTAATAATGGAAAAAGTGTAGACAAGAGTTGTGGGAACTAAAACAAACCTGGCACATTTTCATCGGCAAATTTAATGGCCACATCATAAACGCCTCCCTCATTGGGTATATACTCGACAAGACATGTGCCGTCCCTATTGTCACGACAGGTGACCTTTGCTTCGGTGGGTCCCTCAACCGACAGTCCAATGCCTCCGTTGCCGGCATTAATTGTCTCAATAGTGAACTGATTTGGTTGGTTAAGGAATCCCTTCTCAATGCCCGGTCCGTACACTTTAACGCGCTTAGGATCGGCTCCATGTGTGGCCTTCACGGCCACGGGAGAGGCGCCCGGTATGGGTGAGCCGTCAAACTTAACGTCAAATTTGTATTCACCTTAAAATATATAATCAAAACCTTATTTATGAATTATGTTTGCTTTTGATGGCACAGACATACCCTCGTCGGGCAAAATGTAGTTCACTTTATACGTGCCGTCGTTATTATTCTTGACGTGAGAGTTGACTTTCTTGCCCGACGGGCCCGTAATGGTCGGCTCAACCGTACCGTCCCCTGCCTTGTCTACTGCGCTGGCGTCCACAGTGAATGAGTTTATACAATTGACAAATTGATCTAGATGCAAGCAAAAAAAGGGCAAAATGTTTTATTCAATAATTTTAATTGTGGATAAAATATACTGTATTTAAATTTGGCTTTAATTTAAATGTTTAATAAATGAGTGTTTCATTCATCAGGAATAACATAACAAATGGGTTATTAAAAAACACGGACAAAATTGTGTGGGATTTTTGATCGGGGTTTCAAATCAAATCACAAAATATTATTTTTTATAAAAACAAAAATAATCTATTGATTGAAAGTTTTGGATATTTTAAACGATTTCTACAGTATATATACGATAAACAATTATCATCGCAACTATAGGTTGTGTCACGGAATGGGAGAGTGCCGGCGGTCGGAGAGTCTACTGACCGGCACAAACACCATAAACGTAAATATGTCTCAAACATATTCCGGTACTAACTATGGCCGTGAAAGGAGAGCGAGGAATGTGTCGGCCGTCTGTCGTAATGCCAATTCTGTACTTTCCGGCAGCGGTTGGCAAATAGGACACCGAATAAGTGCCGTCGCAGTTGTCTCGATAGTCAACAGTGGTCTGAGAGGGACCGTCGATGCAGACGGACAGTCGGGCGACGTCAGGGCTGGTGTCCGCCGCCGCTTTCGTGTCGATCAAAAACTGAGCCACTTTTCGTACAGTTCCATGTGTAAGACCGGGTCCGTACGCCCGGATCAGATCGCACTGTTGACCGGTTGGTACCGGGCTTTTGTGGTCGGGCGGCGGTTCAACCACCCGTACGGTGTGCGGCGAATCCGGCACACATACACTGTTCAATAAAACTCGGATCACATATCGGCCCGTCTGGTGGGGAATGTAATTGACTAAAAAACCGCTGGACGTGGGAATGATGTGCGGAAGGTATGCCTCGTTGGTCGGTGTGGTAATAATCACAGATATCTCGTCGAATTGGTCGCAGTAGTCGGTGTCGATACGCACCCGGAACTGTTGCAATGTGTCGATGACAACAACTGTGTGTTTGGGGACAAGTGTTAGTTAACAAACCCGTTATGGTTACGAACACAATGTGGTGGACAGATATATATGTACAGTATATGGGATCAGTTGGGGCGGTGGCCACAAACATATACAATACATACACACTAGCAATTAGATTCAGCCATAAAAACATAGTTGGTTTAAATTTGATGTTAATTTCAATGATTGTATTATTACTCATTGGGATTGGAAATGTTTATCGCAAACAAAAAATTAATACTAAATTATATTAAAAACTAGAATGTAATCAAATTATAAACTAAAGACTAGGAAAGTATCGCACAATATATATTATTGAATTAATAACAATAAAATATATAATCAATGTCTTACTCTTCTCGAGTCCATCGACTTTCACTTTGGACACATCGGCCGGCGGTGTGACGTTCAGGTCGACCGGCGATCCGGGCACTGGCCGTCCGGCATAAGTGGTGCTTACTTTGTATTTGCCCGGCGCTGGAGCCGTGTATTCGGCGGTGTACTGGCCGTCCTGATGATCAGTTATGGTGATCGGCACATCTTTGCCCTTCTCGTCCTTAACACTAGTGACCAGTTCGCCGCCGCCCGCCTGTCGGGTGTCTATTATGTAATACGTTGGCTGTTTTGGTTTGACTCCCTTTGACACTCCCGGGCCCTCCACTTTCACCTACAAGTATAGCACATCATTTAACACATCATTTAGCAGTTTTAATAAATCAATGCCATAGCAGATCACTGGCCATACCTTAGCGGCGTCGGGCATACCGCCCACTGTCACCCGGAATGGGCTCTTGGGTACGGCAACACCGCCGTAGTTCACGTGGACAGTGTGTTTGCCGAGCTTATCGGGCTTATACTGGGCCTTAAACGTGCCGTCTTTATTGTCGGTCAGCTTAAGGTCCAGCTCTTTATAGTCGGCGTTATTCATGACCGACACATCTAACGGCGCTTTACCCGCCTTACGGGTGTCGACCGTAAACTCAGTGGGCGTCACAATCACCACACCTTTGGGCGCGAGTCCGGGTCCGGACGCTACCACAGCGTCCGGATTGTAGTCAGTCTTGGGTATAATCATTGGCATATACGGCGAGTTAGGTATGTCTTCGCCATCGCAGGTCACGTGAACGGCGTACTCTCCCGGAGCCGTCGGGTGATACTCCACTTCGGCCGAGCCGTCGCCGTTGTCGCGGCACTCGATCTGCGCATAAGAGGGTCCCTCCACTGAAAAGCCAAGGGTTCCCGTCTCGCCATTCGTATCCACTGTGAAGCGCGCCGGATGTCCGACAACACCGCCCTTCAGTCCGGGCCCGTAGGCGACAATCTTAGACTCCTTCATAGGCGAGACCTGCACTTCGTATGGACTCTGGAAGATCTCTTGTCCGGCAAAAGTCACTTCCACGACATACCGGCCCTCTTTCAGCGGCTTATAGTCGCAGTCGTAGGTCACGCCGTCCGCCAGTTTGCGCACCGAACACTTGATGGGCTGTCCGTCGGGTCCGAGCACTTTGACCTCTGGTTTGCCGGCACCGGCGCCCTCAGTGAACACCTTGAACTCGGCGTTATCGTTGACCCGAATGCCTGTGGGCTGTAAACCGCGTCCGAGCGCCCGAACCTTTTCGGCATTACAGGCCGGCGCCACCTTCACTGCGAACGGACTGTTGGGCACCGGTTTGCCCGCGAAAGTCACCTCTACTTTGTGCGGGCCCTCCAATTGAGGCGCGTATTCGCACTTGAATTTGGTCGGGTCCTCATCGTTCTGTCGCACACGTATGGGCACAGAACTGGACTTTCCCTTCGGGTCAATCACCTGAACGTCCAC